AATACCGGCCCCCTTTTTCCGAAATATATTTTTGCGCGCACCGAACGCAAAATTATTATTTTAATTAAAAACGTTTTTTTTAAAATTGTAAACCGCATACCCGTTAAAATTATTATTATATTAATTAAAAAGTTTGGTAATAACGTAAAAGCAACGCGCAAATTTTCCAACGGTAACGTGGTAATTTTATTTTATATAACCGCCGTTAAGCATACGAAAAATACCGCGTAAATTATTAAAATATTCGGTAGCAAAGCAATACATTAAACCCGAATTTATAACGTTGTAATTAAAAATATTTAATAAAACGCAACCAATAATAATAACATTTTGTTGCACGAATTTAAAACGTATAATATTAAGGCCGAAATTAATTTTATTTATATATAAAACGCCCGGCAACCGAAAAAATACGTTACGGTATTGGCTAAAATTATATCCCCCGCCGCAGCCCAAACCGCATGCAATAACGGCTTTGTATTTAAAAGCAAAATTTTTAACGTCGAACCGTTTGCAACGGGAACAAAAGCCGTTTAATGTTACAAATGCTACGGGTAAGGATATAAATTAAAATTTTGCAAAAAAGCGGCTTATTGCCCGCATTGCGCCGGGCCGTTACATAGCAACGGCAAAGCCGGGGAACTTTTGTGCCCGTTATACGGGGGTTAATTTATTGCAAAAAAAAGCAAACCAAAATGTTGCAATTACAAAAGCAATTACCTAGCCTTTTAACAAACGTACCCCGCAATAAAAAAAAAATTAAAAAGGCTAAAAATACATTTTTAAACCGGCCAAAACAATTTGCTTTAAAAACGGGGAATAAGCGCGCACCCCGACCAAATTAAATAAATTACTTTACCGTCCATACCTTTCCGCTTTTTGCATTTATCCGCTTTTTACCCGGCCTTTTCCAACCGTTACAAAAAAAAACGATTTGTTTAATTTAAAATTGCTAACAAAACGCAAACGGAACGGCTTTTTATTAAAAATAACAAAAGCAAAGGAAAATTTTTTAGTTAAAAAACGAATAAGTAAATTACGAAAATTCCGCAACAAAAAAACGTTAAGCTTTTTTAAATCCGTTTTTAAAATAAACCAATACTTTACAAACCCAAATTTCGCCTTTTTCGGTTTTAATAAAATAGCGAAAATAAAGGGAACAAACGAATGCTAGGCCGTTAATAACCCAACGGCACCTAATAATACTGCGGTTACCAATTCCGATTTTATTAATGCATTAAATTACAAAGCTTTTTCCTTTTCCTTTAATTTACCTTTACTTTAACCGTTTGCATTCCAACCAACCCAATTCGGCTTTATACCGGTACCGTTTAGCTTTTTTGCAGCCGGAATTACGTTTATTTTTAATTAATTAATTAATAATAATAACGACGTATAAAATTAAATATATTATATTGGAATATAAAAAAAGGCAAAAGAAAAAGCAATTTTTTCCTTTACAATAACAAACAATATAACATTTTAACCATTTAAAAGCCGGAGCGCAACCAGCACGGGAACCTTTCGAAACCGTACGGTTGCAATTACGAATTTATTTATTACTAAGGATTTAATTTTAACGCAGCACTTTACGTGCACAACCGTTTTGCCCTTAAATTGTAAATTGCCCGGTGCGGTTATAATTGGGCTTTAATTACAATTATTACGCTGGAAAGCCCATTAAAAATATATTTAATATATTTTTTAAATTTTAAAGCAAGCCCCAATTAGGCAACGTTTTTTATTACAATCGTTATTTACCTAACCCAAAAGCATACAATTTTTACAAGCAATTTTAACCTTTATTACCTAATTTGGAATTTATACAATAAATATAATGCAAAAAGCGAAACCTTTTTGGAATTAGCACGCCGCAAACGATTTGGATTAATAACGTTTTACGGAAAGGTTACGAAAAAAAAAGAAAAAAAAAATAGCACAATTAATTACGTTTAAATAACGCAACAATTTAAAATGGAATATTTAAAACAAAATAATATAATAAAAAAGTCCAACCATTTATTCCAAATACTTTGCGTTTTTTTTAAACCGTAGCAATTCCAATTTTAATAAATTAAAAATTGGAAATGGAAAAACGTTAAATTAATAAAGGAATTGGCGAAAGCTAAAGCCGAAATAAACAGCAAATTAATAACGATTGGGAATATGCATAACGCCAAAATTATAAATAAAAAACCAATAAATTAATGCAATAATTAACCCAATTTGCCGATTAACTAGCTTTTTAACGGAAACCAAGCCTTTTTAACAAACGCGCCCTTTACTAAATACAAAAATTTAACGATTTTTGTAAAAAAACGAACCGTTTGCAACGCGCTTTTATTAAAAACAAAACGCAAATAATATAAAAAGCGTATAAAGCCGCAAACAAAGCATTTGTTAAAAAAAAACGCTAAATAAAGTTTAATTATTAAAAAAGCGTTATTTTTGCAACGGAATAAAATACCAAAAAAAAACGGCGCATTTTGGAAATTCGAAAAATGGGCCCGTTTAAAAAGCTTTTAAAAAAAAACCCGGATTAGCTATCGAATTTAATTAAAACCGGAAAAAACCCGGATACGCTTTGTAACTACCAAAAAAAAGCCGAAATTTTATTATTTAAATTTTTCCCAAACCCGTTAATTAACATTTTTAATATTAGCAAAACCAAATTCCCAAACCATTTTTTCTTAAACCCTTTTTAAATGCCCGTTTTCGTTACCCCGCAAAATATTATAAAAGCAACGGGCCGCACCAAACCGTAAAAAGCTACGAGCTAAAACCATTTCCCGAACGGGTTATTTAAAGCCGCCGAATTGCCGGGCGCAACCGTTATCGCAAAATTTGCTAACGCAACAATCGTTATAAGCTATTTCCCAAAGCGTTTTAAAAAAGCCTTTACGGTAATATTACCCAAACCAAACAAAATTACCAAAAAAAAAAACAAACCGGGAAATAAAAGCTTATCGTTTTATTATTATTAATTTTAAAAGCTATTAAATTAATTATAACGAAACGAATTGTTAACAAAACGAAAAAGAAAAGCATTTTCCCTAACGGCCAAATAGGCAACCAACGGGTTAAAAGCACGAAATTAGCAATCCAAAAAGTAATGGAAGCGGTAATTGCAATATAAAATTACGGCGTTACCGCGTTATTATTACAATTTAACCTATCCGGAACATTTAATACCGTTAACCATTTCCAATTGCTAAATACGTTAAAAAATACGATTTTTTTTTACCAATTGTAAAATGGGTAAAAAAGTGGTTAATAAATAAAACGGCCATTTTGCAATTTAACGGCAATATTTTAAACCCGATTTTAATTTAAACCGGAATTTTTTAAAGCTTTTTTTTATTTTTTATATTTTTTATTATATACATTACATTATTATATAAAAATTTTAAAAGCATTTTAAAAATTTTCGTTACCGGTTTTGCTAATAATATTAATTTATTAACAATAAAAAATACCGTAAAAAATACGGCCCGTTTTTTGGAAATAATTTGGCCAAAATGCAAAGTATAAGCAATTAAATACGGTATAAAATTTAATAGCATTAAAACCGAATTAATCCATTTTAGCAAAAATAAAAATTCGCCCGTAATTTAATTTAGCAATATAACGATAATTTCCAACCAAACGGCCAAATTTTCCAAAGTTTAATTAAACGCCCGTTTTAATTTTAAAAAATATATTAAAAAAATAAAAAGCAAGCAAAAAAAGCAACAATTAGCATTTATTCGATTTATTTCGTTAACGTAAAGCAATACGTTTGCAAAAAAAAGGCTTTTTTATAACGTAATATGCCGTACGGCTTTGGCATACGGCGCAATAGCCTTTTATATAGCTATACCGGCAACGGGCCGCTTTAAAAGCGCCGCCAAACAATTTTAAAAAAAATAGCGCGCGTATTTAAAAACTATTGCTAAAGCTTACAAAGCCATTTCGCTAATTAATTTCGAAATTAAATGCTTTACCCTTTTAATCGATTTGTACCTAAACGAAAAAGTATTAAAAGCAAAAAAAAATAAAAAAATTTGGAATAAAAAAAGTAATCCGGACCGGTACCGATAAAATGCAGCAATATTTTCGATAGCTAAAATATCGTAAAAAAATAAAAGTACTATACCCATTTAGCCTGGCAAGCAAAAACCGGTAAGCGCAAAAATGGGACCCGTTAAAACCCTTTGGATTTAAGCCCGGCCCCGCCCCGGCAATTACCCAAAAAGCAACCAAAACAAAAGCTAATGCCAAAGCACAAAAATTAACGAACCGAAAGCAAAAAAAAAAAAAGGAAAGGAATGGTTTAAAATCGAATAAAACGTTAAATGCAAAAAAATTTGCGCTATAGCAACAAAAATAAACCCATTCCGGCCCGCAATCCCCGCAAATAAACCTAATTTTAACGGTTTAATGCTAAAAGCATACCAAAAATTTACCAAAGCTTAAAGCGCAATGGCTATCCAATTAAAAACGGAAAAATTAAAATTAAAAGCGTTTTTTTGGAATAAAAACGTTTTTAACGTGCATACGCCCCGTTGCCCGTATAAAATTAAGCAACGGGAAATAGCATTTTATTTGCTTGCTAAATGCCTTTTTTATACTAAATAAAAAACAAATTTGGGCTGGGAAAATATAAGTTACCGCAAAGCATATTTCGAACGATAGCAGCAAAAAACAAGCATTATTACCGGAATTAATACAAACCAAAACGGCCCCTTTTTGCCCCCCCCCTTTTTTTATTAACAGTACGTTTGGCAATTAGGACAAATAAATTTAACAATTTTAAAGTGGTAAGGAAAAACGACCAATTAAAAACGCAAATACCAAAAAAACGAACCGCCCTAAACAAATAACCTAACGTTAAATTAATAACCAAATACAATTATTTTAACCATTAACCTAATATAAAAAAGTTACAATTATACGCCCAATTATACCTAGCAGCATTTAGCAATAAATTCGGGAACAAATCGTTGCTTTACATGTTTTAACGCGTGCGGATTTTTTCCCGCGCCATTTCCAGCACCCAATTAAAAAACGCTAAATTATTTTTATTATTACCCTATTTTATAACCGCCATATTTAATTGCTTATATAAATTAAAAAGTGCAAAAGCAACAAAAACAATATTATTATCGAAAAAGAACCGGCACTTACCAATTGCTAAACTTGCGCAAAAACGAACTTTTTAACCTTTAAATCGTTAGCAACCTTTGCAATATCGTTAGCACGCAATAAAGCATTAAAAGCTTTTAAAGCGTAAAAAGCAAAAGCTTAAAGCACCGATACCATATTGCTAAAAAAGGACCGTACAAATTCCGAACCAATAGCACCGGTACTTATAAAAACCCCGGCGCCAAAAAAGGAAAGCATTCGAAAACGGTTAAAAGCAAAATTAATACCGGTAAGCACCCCAAATTTATTAAACCCGTTTTTATTGGTACGCCGAAACGTATAAACCTTAATAATTAATGCGTTATAAACCGCTTAATATTGCATTATACCGTTAACGAACCGATAAAATACAAAAAACCGATAAAATTAAAGCAATTTATTAAATATTTGCGGCAATTATTTAACCCGAAATCGCGCATATTTTTAATTTTAAAAAACGATTAATAATATTTAGCAAAAAGTACGGCCGCAATACGAACTTTTTTAATAACAACGGGGTAAAGCTAAAAAAAAATACGTTAGCAACCCGGTTAAATAACGGAAAAAAAAGGAAAAAACGATTTACCGTATTACACCAAATGTTTTAATTAGCATAAAAACGATAAAACAATGCATTTGTATTTAAAAAAACCAATAAATTAACAAATAAAAAAATTACCCGGAATTACAAAAAAAACAAACCAATTTTAAAATAACAAATTGCAATTTTATTAAATTGCTTTTTTCCGCTTTACTTTTTACCCAAACCATTAAGCAAATAACCAATGCAATTTACGCAAATATTACGCGCAAAATTAAATAATTAACCGAAATATAAATAAAAAAAAACGAAAAAAGCATTTACATTATTTAATAATAAAGCAAAATGCTTTTAAAAATTTTCGTTAAAGCGTTTATCGCTTTGCGGGTTATAAATTTATATCGTTAAACGAAAAAATTAAATTAAAATAAAAAAACGCAAACAATTCGGCGGCAAAAGGATAAAAAAAAACGAATTATGTAATTAGCATTAATTTGCGCATCGTTACCGTTATTATTGCTAACGTTAAAAAAACCGTTGCTATTATCGGGCATTTTTACCGGAAAAGTACGGAAAGCGGGCCGGGCAAAAAAAACGTTAAAAACGGCGGGATCGGAAAAAGGAAAAACAATAATTGCCGCCCAACCATTATTACAAACGCCGTTACCGTTGCGGTTACCGCGCGTAGCAAAATTAGCTTTGGCCGTACCTTTTTTTTAAAAAAAGCCGTTAATTAGCATTGCAATCGATTAAAATGGAAAGTAAAATTAAAAATGGCCGGAAGCGAAAAAAAAAAATTGCAACCAAACGCTGGAAATAAAAAGCGCGTTAAAAAAAATTAAAGCAATAAAAATTAACCGAAAGCGATGCAATAAAAAGGTAACGGTTAAAAAGGAAAAAGCATTGCACCAAAAAAATTAAAAATAAAGTAAAAAAGAAAAAAGGAAAAA